TACGCTCCTTTTTTTTTTTTTGTTTTTATTTTTTGAGGCAGAGTCTCACTCTGTTGCCTAGGCTGGAGTGCAATGGCAAGATCTCGGCTCACTGCAACCCCAGTCTCCCAGGTTCAAGAGATTCTCCTGCCTCAGCCTCCCAAGAAACTGGGATTATAGGCACATGCCATCATGCCTGGCTATTTTGTTTGTAGTTTTAGTAGAAATGGGTTGCACCATGTCGGCCAGGCTACTTTCGAACTCCTGACCTCAAGTCATCTGCCTGCCTTGGCCTCCCAAAGTGCTGAGATTACAGGCGTGAGCCACTGTGCCTAATCTCATTTTCTTTTTTTTGAGATTATAGTCTCACTCTGTTGCCCAGGCTGGCGTGCAGTGGCATGCTTGTGGCTCATTGCAACCTCCGCCTCCTGGGTTCAAGCAATTCTCCTGCCTCAGCCTCCTGAGTAGCTGGGATTAGAGGCACGCGCCACCATGACCAGCTAATTTTTGTATTTTTAGTAGAGATGGGGTTTCACCATGGTGGTCAGGCTGGTCTCGAACTCCTGACCTCATGATCCGCCCACCTGGACCTCCTAAAGTGCTTGCTTGCTGGGATTACAGGCATGAGCAACCGTGCTCAGCCCTCATTTTCTTTTTTTAAAAATGTATCCCGCAGTTTTGTATACATGTATAAAATATATATTTTATCAATATATTTATAACTGTATCTTATATGCAATATAAACATATAAGTATATGTAATATATAAATATATTAATATATAAATTATATTAATTATATATAAATATAATTAATATAAGTATATGTAATATATAAATATAATGTAAAAACATACATAACTACTGTATGGTAATATGTAACTATAAATGCAAGCAAATGTCATTCAGATCCTTCCTATAGAACTCTTGCTGAAATAGCTGCAAATGGGAAAAAATAGATTCTGGTCCCAATCCCCTGCCACATATTCAAAGTGGAAAATTGGGATCATAATTTGCAAAGACTTTTTCCATCCCAAATGGCAATTGATCAATCCCTCCTGGCAAACAAATTGCTGTACATCCCCCGTAAGTCAGATGTCCTCTCAGATTCGTGTAATTGAAACCCTCGTGACTATCCAAAGATTTCAGGTGGCTCTAATATTTGGTACATGTATAATAACTCCATCAAAACAGAAAACAAAAAGTCATAGAAAGGGGAAAATAAATAACCCCAAACAATGAGGCTGATAAAATTCTAGTAATGAACAACTAAACTCTAAGTTTCCTGGAGCTAATGGGAAAAAGGGGAAGTCCTACATAAAAATGATCATTGTTTAATCAAAATAAATTAATCAAAAGAGAAGCGTTTCCTTTTGGAATTATTAAAAAAAAATCAATTCACTCATAATTTCATCATAGCAATACTGTTATTTTTGATTGTATACATATATTCCAGTCTTTGTCTGCGGGTAAAATAGAATTTTGTTTTTCAAAAATATTTGAATAAGCAAAACATGCAGATAGTGTGAAAACAAGAAAGTATGAAAAATATACTGAAAAGCTTCCTCCCATCCTTGTTATACATCTGCCCAGTTTCAAATTCCCTCACTCCCAGGCAGGGTTGTATCCTTCTAGGGTTTTTAAGTATATTTAATAATATCATCATCATCATCACCAATATCAACAACAAAATGCATATTCTTATCTTCTGCCCTCTTTTTGCACCTTAGTTTCTTTTTGAGACAGAATCTCACTCTGTTGCCCAGGCTGGAGTGCAGTGGCACCATCTCAACTCACTGCAGCCTTTGCTTCCTGGGTTCAAATAATTCTCCTTCCTCAGCCTCCCGAGTAACTGGGATTATAGGCGCATGCCACCATGCTGGGCTATTTTTTTTTTTTTTTGGTATTTTTGGTAGAGATGGGGTTTCACAATGTTGGCCAGGCTGGTCTCGAACTCTTCACTTCAAGTGATTTACCTGCCTTGGCCTTCCAAAGTGCTGGGGTTACAGGCTGAGCCTTAGTAGACCGTGCCCGGCCTACACCTTAATTTTTTTTCACTTAACTACATATCTTGCAGGCTTTCCCATCTCAGCAGGAGGAAAGTGCCCCATCCATATGGGCAGTTATAACAAAATACCTTAGAATGGGTAATTTGTAAATAACACACATTAATTTTTCACAGTTCTGGAGGCTGGGAAGTCCAAGGTCAAGGCACCAGCAGATTCAGTGTCTGGTGAACACTTGTTCCTCATAACAGGCACCTTCAGCTGTGTCCTCATGTCCTCACATGATGGAAGGAGTAATCAGGCTCCTCAAGACTCTATTATAAATATAATGGCACTAACAAGCCTCTATTAATTACTAATATAATGGCATTAGTCTCACTAATGAGGGCAGAATCCTCATGACCTAATCACCTCCTAAAGGCTCTACCTCTTAACACCATCACATTGGGTATTAGGTTCCAATATATGCATTTTGGAGGTCACCCATATTCACACCACAGTAGAAAGCTTCCTTAGTCTCTTTTATAGCTACATGATTGTTCATTGTCTGGTTCTACCATAACTTATGTAACCAGAGCCCTCCTGGTATCATTTAGACTGCTCCCATTTTTTTGCTGTTGCAAATAAAGCTGGGGTGAATAATCTTATACATATGCAATTTGATGTGTGGGAAAATGTAGCTGTGGGATAAATTCCTTGAAGCAAACTGTTGGGTCAAAGAGAAAATGCATTTGTAAATTTGATAGTTATCACCAAATAGAGATTTCAGAAACGTATACTTCCACCAGCACAGTCAGATGGTTGAATGCCCCATAATATCCACACACTCAGCCAGAACTAGTATCCACCTGTCACACTCCAGGGAGGAAGAAAGAGACATGTGAAAAAGGAAGAGCTGCTTATCTGATGCCGGCTATGTGCCAGATACACTCTGCAAACACACCCTAGACATATTGTCTTCCTATAAGGCAAAGTGTGTTTCCCTGATTTTTAAATGTGAGGAAACTCAGTCTCAGGTTAAGGAAACTTACACAACGTCTCAAGAAAATAGAAGAGTCCTGAACCCTTGGCTGGCTCTGAAGCCCGTGTTGGTTCCAGGGGACCACGTCATGGTGCCAGGGAGGATATCTCAGGCCAGCTCTGGTGTTCCCCGAAGGCTGTTTTTTTCAGCATTCATGAATGTCAACAGCGGACTTCATTTCCCAACTACTTTATTTTCTTGCCTGCTTGGAACTTCAAGAGTCAGAGCTCTGCCCTGCTTAGAGAAACCCCTGGCAACCCCTTCCCCCTTCGTGCTCTCCCCAGGCCCCAGACCGCCCGTCACATGTGACTTTTAAGTGTGGAGCAGTGCTCCTCCAGGTACGACTCTCCCAGAAGAACATCCAGCCACAGTTCCAGGTCCCGCACGAGCTGCTCCAGCTCTTGCACCTCTTTCTCTAGCTTCTCCAAGAAGACATGCAAGTTCTCCTTCAACCAGTTCCTGATGGCCTTTATTGGTTCTTCCGAGGGCTCATTGGTCTGATATTCAAGCCCCTGGAAGGCAGACACCCGAGTGGCATTTTGTGCTTTCTCAGATAGGACCTTCCTTCCTGCCCCCACTGGTTTCAAAAAGATCCCTGGGCCTTTGCATGTGCTATTCATTGGCTTATAGTATCTGTCCCCACCTTCTACATTTGGCCAGCTCCTACTTATCTTTCATGACCCATGTTGCCAATGACACCTCCTCTGGAAAGCATTCCCAGGTTGCCTCACCTCAGTACCTTGCTGGAATATGTTACCTGGGAATCGCCAAGACTCTGGTAGTAGTTACATTCTCGGATCCTTTCTGACACCTCCCAGCTGCTTCCTGAAATAGGCACAAACATCACCTCTTAAGAGCAAATGAGTGCCAATTAAAATAAACATGGTCTGTCATCCCAGTGCAATGAAGGGTCAGTAGGAGAAGGCAGGTTATGGAGGTCCCCTTAAGATGCAACCATCTTTGGAATACTCCACCAAGCTTCATGTGGATTTGGTTCCTCTTTTCTCCGATTCCAGAATGCTCACCCGATATCCCTGTGCTCAAGTACAGCACCAAGATCAGCAATGTCAACAGAGTCTAGGGTGCAAGAAGAGGAGGAGGAAGAAGAACATGAGGATAAATTCTCTCCAGCTCCCCCTACTTCCATCACAAAGGGCCAGACATGGGAGTGCTTATAAGACAGTTTTTTGAGCTTAACTTTTGTTCCAGTTATCTAAGTCACATTTGCTTACTACAAAACTTCCAAACTTTGAAGAAATAGATAACATGGCAAGTTACTGATAATCGATTTATGTTTTCTCCCATTTAAACATTTTTTGTTTTAATTGATCTTTAAAAGCAATCAACTTTATTGTGGTATAATTTACGTACAACAAAATGCACACATTTAAAATGTATAGTCTGATGAGTTTTGATAAATGTCCACACCTGTAGACTGTCACCCCAGTCAAGATGTAGAACATTTCCATCATCATAGTTCCCTCATGCCCTTTTGCTGTTAATTCCATCTTCACTCCTGCCCTGCCTGGAGAGAACCATTAATCTGTTCTCTGTCACTGTGAGTAGTTTTGCCTGTTCTATAACCTTGTATAAGTGGAATTACACAGTGTGTGTGTTTTTGCATTTAGTTTCTTTTGCTTAAGATAACATATTTTGAAATGCCTCAATTTTTTGTGCTCAATTTTATTGATGAGTATATTGTGTATTTTATTGATGAGTATTTATATTATATGGACACCGAATATTGTATAATTAGTTTCTTTACCTGTTGATGGACTTTTGGGTTGTTTCCAGTTTGGAGGTATTGTGAATAAAAGTGCTATGAACACTCATATACAAATCCTTGTGTGAACATATGTTCATATTTCTCTTGGGTTAATATTCAGAAATGCAAATGCTGGGTTATATAGTAAATGTATGTTTAATTTTAGAAGAAACCACCAAACTGTTTTCCAAGGTGTTTGCACTATTTTTCATTCTCATTAGCAATTCACGAGAGTTCCAGTTGCTCCACATCCTCGTCAACATTTGGTATTGTCAATCTTTTTTACTTTTTGAGAACAGATCTTGTTCTGTCACCCATGCTGGAGGGCAGTGGTGTGACCTTGGCTCACTGCAGCCTTGACTTCCCTGCTCAAGCCATCCTTCCACCTCAGCCTCCTGAATAGCTGGGACTACGGATGTGCATCACCATGCCTGGCTAACTTAAAAAAATGTTTTTAGTAGAGATGAGGTCTTGTTATGTTGCCCAGGCTGGTCTTGAACTCCTGAACTCAAGTGATCCTTCCGCCCTGGTCTCCCAAAATGTCCCAGTCTTAATTTCAGGTATTTTGCTTGTGTAGTGATATCTCAATCTAGTTTTCATATGCATTTCCCTAATGATTAATGATGTTAAGCATCTTGTCATGTGCTTATTCAGCATTCATAATTCATGTATTGTTTTTTGTGGTTTGACTATTTAGGTCTTTCACCCATTTTTTAATTGGACTGTTTATCTTTTTCTTCTTAAGTTGCAATAGTTTTTTTTTTTTTTTTACATATAGTGGGTATGAGTCCTTTGACAGGTATTTGGATTGTGAATATATTTTCTAGAAGTCTGCATCTTGTCTTTTCAAGTTCTTATCAGTGTCTTGAAAATTAAAAGATTTCAGTTTTGATGAAGACCATTTCACCAAAGTTTTTCCTTTTGTGATTGTGCTTTTTATGTGTTGTTTAGAAAATTTTGCCTTCTTCAAGGTTGTGAAGACTTTTTCCTCTTCTAGATGTTTTATCATTTTAACTTTTACATTTAGGAGTATGATCCGTTTTGAATTAATTTTTGTATTTGATGGGAAGTAGGGATTAACTTTTTTGTATGAATGTCCAGTTGTTCTAGAATTATGTTTTAGAAGATTAATATTTTCCTCATTGAATTACATTATTGTCTTTGTCAAAAATATATTCACCATGTATTATGTGGATTTATTTGTAGATTCTGTTTTGTTTCATTGATCTATATATCTACTTTTACATCAGCACTAAATCTGTATTACTTTCTTAGGGCTGCCATAGCAGGATATCACAAACTGGGTACCTTGAACAACAGAACTTAATTTTCTCACATTCCTTGAGGCTGGAAGTCCAAGATCAAGGTGCTGGCACAGTTGGTTTTTGATGAAGTCTCTCCATGTTTGCATATCCTCATTGTGTCTTACTCTTAGAAGAACATCAATTCTATGAAATCATAGTCCTATTGTTATGACCCCATTTAACTTTATTGCCTCCTTGAATGCCTTGTCTCTAAATATAGTCACTTTGGGGATTAGGGATTCAATATATAAATTTTGGGGGACACAATTCTGTACATAATGACTACCCTGTCACTACTATCTTCTATTGATTTTTAAAAATTTCTGTCTTGCATAATAACCACACTATTACTGTGGCTTTATACTGAGACTTGAAATCAGGTGAGTTTTTCAACTTTGTTCCTTTTCAAACTTGTTCTGGCTATCCTATGCTCTCTGCATTTTAATACATACTTTAGGGTCATCTTTTTCAGTTCCTATCACACACAAAAAAACCTTACTGGAATTTTGGTTGATATTACACTGGATCTATAGTTCAATTTGGTAAGAAATAATATCTTAAAAATTTTGTATCTTTATAATCCATGAACATGGTACATCTCTCCATTAAATTTTTGTTTAATTTCGCTTAACAATGTTTTGCAGTTTTCAAGTGTAGAGGTCTTGCACTTCTTTCCAAAGTATTGTGTGTTTTTTGTGCTATTATAAATGATATTTAAAATTTTTCATTTCCCAATTGTTTGTTTAGGCTAGTCTATCGAAATACAATTGAGTTTGTATATTTTGACTTAATTCTAATAGTTTAGGATTTCATATATAGAAAATCAGGTTATTCATGAAGAAAGTTTTATGTTATCCCTTCCATTCTTTATCTTTAAAAAAATCATTTGTCTTTTTTCCTTGTCTTTTTTCCTTTAACTTGTGTGTTGACTAAAATCACCAGTAAAATTTTAAATAGAAGTGGTAAAATGGAGCATCCTTATCTTATTTCATATCTTAGAGGGAAAGGGTGGACATTTTCACTAGTAAGTGAGGTGTTAATTGCTGATTTTTCATTGTCACTTTTATCTGGTGGAAGAATGTTTTTTTTTTCTATTCCTAGTTTTCTAAGAGTTTTAACATGAATGAATGCTGAATTAGTGAAATGCCTTTTTGTGCCCACTGAGCAATTATATTTGTTCCCCTTTTTGCAGTAAATTGCATTAATTGCATTTTATATGTGGAGCCAAATGAGTTTCTTCAGTAAACGCTAGTTGTTCATGATGCATTAGCTAGCCTTTTTATATTATCATGTGATTTGGTAAGCTACTATTTCTTTGAGATTTTTTACATCTATATTAATAACAGATGGGTTTAAATTTTTTTCTAGGCCAGGTGCAGTGGCTCATGCCTGTAATCCTAACACTTTGGGAGGCTGAGGTGGGCAGATCACTTGAGGTCAGGAGTTCAAAACCAGCCTGGCCAACCTGGAGAAACCCTGTCTCTACTAAAAATGCAAAAATTAGACGTCCATGGTGGCAGTTGCCTGTAATTCCAGCTACTCAGGAGGCTGAGGCAGGAGCATCACATGAACTCGGGAGGCAGAGATTGCAGTAAGCCAAGATCGCACCACTGTACTCCAGTCTGGGTGACAGAACAAGATTCCTTCTCAAAAAAAAAAAAAAGTTTGGTTTTCTATATGTTTGTCAAGTTTTGATATTGAGGTTTTGTTGCCCCCTTAAAATGAGTTGTTAAGAACTCCCTCCTCTTCTATTTTATGAAATAAATTGTTAAGATTGGTATTATTTTTATCTTAAATGATTGATAAAATGTATTGGTGAAAATTTTGGGGCCTGTAGTTATTAAGACTATTTCTTCTTGAGTCAATTTTGTAAGTTGTACTGCCCAGGAAGATTTGTCCATTTCACCTAAGTTAAATGTATTGGTATCAAGTTGTTCCTAATATTACCTTAATATTCTTTTAACGCCTGTAAGAGTCATAACAATCATCTTTCATTCTTTTTAAAAAATGTATAAAGGAAAGAGGTCAAGAGAAGAAACAAGAGACTTATTTCATTCTTGATATCAGTAATTTGTGTTTCTTTGTTTGTTTTAATAGTCTATTTAGAAGTTTTCCAATTTTTAATTAAATTTTATCAATTAAAAATGGTTACTAATTTTGTTTGTCTGCTTTACATTTCATTAATTTCTGATTTTGTTTTTATTATTTCTTTCTTTCTACTATTGAGTTTAATTCTTCTTTTTTTGCTAATGAGGAAATTTTGACCATAGCTTTTAAAGTTTTCTTGTTTTTCAAATATGCGTGTATGCATATTGACTGACATTGAATTTTCCTCAAACTCACTAGATTTTGGCTGAGTCAGATTTAGTTTGCCTTAAAGAAATAATACATTTCTTACACACTCAAGTATGTGAAGTAACATTTGTAACATTTAGACCCAGTACTAAACAAAGAAGAGAAAATATTTGCCCAATTTGCCTCTTCTCCAGATAATTTTCTTTATGACAGCATCTATATTATTATTATTAACTTTAAAAAATACATGTTACATAACAACAACTTGTTGAGTTTCACAGACACAATGATAAGTGAAAGAAGTCAGACACAAAGGTATACATGATATGATTCCATTTACATGAAATTCAAGAACATAGTGGAGTGGCTGGCAAGATGTCTGAACAGGAACAGCTACAGTCTGCAGCTCCCAGCAAGGTCAACACACAAGGTAGGTGATTTCTGCATTTCCAACTGAGGTACCTTGCTCATCTCACTGGGGCTGGTTGGACATTAGGTGCGGCCCATGGAGGGCAAGCTGAAGCAGGGTGTGATGTTGCCTCACCTGGGAAGTGCAAGCGGTGTGGGGGGGTCCCTATCCTAGCCAAGGGCAGCCATCAGGGACTGTACTATGAGGGATACTGGCCCAGATACTGCACTTTTCCCATGGTCTTTGCAACCTGCAGACCAGGAGTTTCCCTCCAGTGCCTATGCAACCAGAGTCCTGGGTTTCA